GTTGCGTTGACCCCACCCTTAACCGTATAACAGGCAAGACACCAAGGCCCCGGGTTGGAGCCAACTGTAAGTCGCTTGCAAACCCAGCCGAGCCAATGATTGGGATGCACCTTCAGGAGCCCTCAAAAACCACCGCACGGCCAGTGGGTTGATCCCACATGGCTGCAGGGTTGATCCCGCAGACCCCTCTACCCCCCACACGGGGTTATTGATTGGTACTTACGTAGCCACTGAACTTTATCTAAACCTAATTCTGCCCTGATAAAGTGACGAACTAACTCGTGGCACCATCCCAAGCCAAGTCCTCAATCCACTGGCCACAGTGAAGGGTAGGCGAAAAGACCCCTTCTCAACAGCCAATCAGAGAAGTGGCCAAAAAATTCCTACCCGGCCCCTCAAAACGGGGCAACCAGTCTGTGCTTACACTACATAGAGGGTGGGTGGGCGGGTGGGCCGAGCACGAGGTGAGAACTGCAGGGGGTAGAGGGGAGCCAGCCTTTAAACTGCAGTTTTATCCTTATAAGGGATAGCAAAGTACGCTTTCAAGCTTGCTAAAATGAGTATCAACTACTCATACTGGCAAATGGTCTCCAGGTCCCCGGCAGAGGTCCTTCTTATCACCTACTGCCAAATTCATAAGGAAACTGGGGGTTTAACCTGGGACCTTCTGCACACCAAGCATATGGTCTCTTATTCACTCCATGTGGCGGAATGGGGAATCAAATCTGGTCCCCCAGATTAGAGTCCGCCACTCTTAATCACGACACTAGAATTATATCCCTTAACTTTAGGGCCAAATATACCAATCTGAAGAACTGGCAATCTCTAATATTTTCTCTGACTAAAACCCTACAAAATGTTATTGAATAGAAATCCCTTGCTGCATTAAGTAGGTAGTCCATTTTTATCTATTTTATTTATTCATTTCAAATAAGGAATAGCACCAACGATAGCATTCTAAACTTCCAAACTTGCGGAATTGAGTATTGCCTGCTCAGACTGGTGAAGGCTCTCAAATCATAAGCAGAAGTCTTAAATCACCTTCCGCCAAATCCTTTGCTGAAATTGCTGGAAATTGAACCTGGAACCCTCTGTATGCCAAGCAGATGGTCTCTCACTGAGACGCATCCCTTCCTACAATGCTCTCCAGGCAATTATTACAGAATTAGTTCCCTTATATACCTAGCTTAAACCGTGCTAGCAACAGTGCATGAAGAAATAATTAATTCAGCACCTATAGGACTACCAGCAAACAGCACCGATAGATACAGCCTTAAATTGGCCACTAGAACAGGTTCTAAAATTGCCACCATCTTGTGTGCTTTCTTTTCAAAAGTAACCAGATCTAAAATGGCCTACAGGAACAGCCCTCAAGCAACCGCCCCACCCACAGCAAGCCACAGAGGCTGCCACTGTGAACTAAGGCATCCAAATTGCCTGCACCCCTATAGGCTGACTTGACCAACAGGCGGGGGGGGGGGAAGATGTGTTAAATTTAAAAGTAATACTGGGAGGGCAGAATAACAAGGGTGGTGGTGGGGGAGGCAGACAAACAGCCCTACCCACTGCTGGCCCCTTCCAAGACTAAAACCCCATAAGGATTTGCCACCCATCAACAAGCAGTTCAGAAGCCCAAAGCACCTTAAGTGCCTAGGGCCCAGTAATGCCTTGCTGCATGAGAAGATGGATGATGGGGTGTGTGTGCAAATCAAACTATTTAAACTCTAAACCCGTGACAGCAAGATACCACGCATAGCACTGTATGGGTTCTTTGCACCCTAATCCTCATCCAAAATGGCCACCGAGTAAGATAATTAAAATAGCCACCCTTGTTAGCAACCAAAAATGGTCACCCAAATTGTCCCACTAGGAGGCCCGGGGGGTGGCCTTCCAAGGACAATGTACATACCCCCTCCCCCTTAAACTGTCCCCAGTGCTCCCAGACAGGATTGGACCACATCCCCTAACTCCCTAACAATGAAGGGGAGGGGGCTTAAACTGGGCTGACGTATGGGTGTGATGGCAATGAAGCAGCCTCACCAACTGCAGCCATAAAACAAAAAAATAAGTCCACTTCACCCGGGATGCTAAAGACCCCTCCTAACATGATAGGGGGGGGAGGGCTGGCCCTTGTATGAGTGTGTAGGGTAGTGTTTTGATGTGTACACATTGCAGCAGTCCCGACTCGGTCCAACGCTGCCGGTGGCAACATGCCTGGACACAAACGACACCCCCCCCCAACAACAACAACACGGTCTCGACTGGGGCCCTGCTGCCACTTCCAATGTAGTCGCCGCCGAGAGGATCAGGCTGCCCCCAATGCTCTGGCCACCCATGCGGCCCGACACAGTGCCTCCGTGGCCACAGACAACGCTCAATGGCCCGATGGTCCCATGCCTCAGCAAACATGTGTTGAGGAATGTGCATATATTTGCCTTATCTGTGTTTGCTGATACACACACACACATGGACTGTATCGGCAAGTACCTATGGGTTTGGGAAAGCTGTGTGCTGTGCTTGATGTGACTGTTTCAAATGAGAACTGCTATGCTGTCTGCACGTTCATGCTAATGATTTTGTACACACACACACACACACACAGCCTTAGGAAGAAGACACCACCATCGTGGGTCAGCACAAACGACAACTTTTATGGCTTCAGCCACCATGCATAAACTAGAAGGAGACACGTAACCCTTAGTATCTGGTTTGCATCCAAATTGAGTTTCCTGTTGAATGGTCGTTTTACGGCAGGAGACCAAGCTACATCGCTCTGCACATCAAAGGTTGCCTTGGTACCATCTTCATACCCTGTCCAGATGCATCCCCTGAGTTAAAGGTTTAGATTTCAATATTGCCCCTTCCCTCTAGGTAGAGACGTCATCTCCTAGTAACCTATAGAGTCAGGTCATGGGATGGGCCACAAGTGGGAGGATGGTATAGATGCCAGCCTCCTGAAATAGTTTATAAAAGCAGGGTTCAACAGTTTGAACCCGGCTAGCCATCTTCTACCTCAACTCTGCAATTCAAGCTCTGCTATAGGTAATTCTTACGTGCTTTCTTGGACTGCAGCCAAGAAGCCCACACGTGTTGGCAGGTTCCAACTGTGTGTAGTAGGATTCCCTTAGTTAGAACTTCTTGTTCCTTTATTCTTCATTGTGAAGGTCGAGCTCTGTATCAGATAAGTATTTGCTGCTCCCATTCCCCATTCATTCTAGTGTAGAAGTGATTATTTTCCATTCCTATATTTCTAAAGGAACCTTGTACGTTTGAGTGTGTGATTGTTTTTTTGTATGTATGTGAAACCAACTATTATTCAGTAAAGAGAACAACTGATTTTACTACAACAGCCTTGTCACATTGTCTCTTTGGGTAGGATCCTCAGGTTGAGGTCCGATTTCTGTATACATAGACCAGAACCCATTCAATTTAGTCTAGCCACTGCATAGATGAGCAGTTCGGCTAACACACGATTGGAACTCCAGTGTAACTGCCAGGTCATGCGGCTGCTGCTGCCGCTGCACCCCTGTCGACTTTCCTGCTGCTAACACGGTAATCTGGAATCAGCCCTCAGAGAAGTAGGTGTGGCCACCAGAGATCAGCCTTATTGCTCAAGATGCTCATTCTCTGAGCATGAGGCGAGAACTGCAGGGGGTAGAGCCTTTAAAAAGCACCAGCTCTGCTCCCCCTTTTGGAGTTAAGGCTGCACTGCAGCCTCTCCTTCTTCCTCCTCACAAGGAGGCAAAGGCGGCCCTCAGGATGCACGCCATTGGCTGCCTCCTGTGGGGCCAGATTACTAAAGATTTCCAGTTTTGTTCCAATTTTACTTGAAAAAAGCAAAACAAAACATGTTTTCAAGTGAAGAAACAGTTAATCTACCTACAGTAAATTCTCTCTGTAGATTTCAACAGAGTTTTTAAAACTTCAGAAACCTTCCCTTCCCTTCTAAACTTACTCAAACGCTGGATTTTCCCCAACCTAGTATCAACCACATTTACAGGTAAAAATTAATAAAACTTTGCAAGAAATTATGTGCATGCTTACTGCTGCTTATAAGGGTCAGTAAGATGGGTACTAATTCCGATCCTGAGAGGCATTAGATGAGGAATGGAATGAGATCTCTCAGACCTTGTTCTCAAAACCATGTAGAGGAAAACAAAGCCATTGTGCTTCCATAGTTTACTTCCTTCAAATAAGGATGCAATAATTATCACACAAACCTGTTGTGGCTCACTGAAATTGTCCCTCTCTTGTGGGGTATTCAATCCACACACCTACCCAACTGGTGTAGTTCAGTGATTAGATTATGGCCTGGGGAGGCCATTATTTGGCAATGAAAAGTTTCACTGGGTGACCTTAGGCCAATCACTCTCTTATAGGGTTATTATGAGGATAAAATAAAGGAAGGACCATGTATATAATTCTAAGGTTCTTGGAGAAAGGGTGGGCCAAATACACAATGGAGGATATGATCCTATTCCTCCATGAAGCTACATATCCAGACTTCTTCACATGGGGGGCCCAACCAATATTTTAAGAGACACTGATGTATCTCATATGTGTGTTACATAAAACATATGAAACAATATGCCTCATCATATGTCATTTTTTCTTCCCAAGCAGTTACTGCTCAATGGCACCCATTGTTAGGATGTCTTCCCATCCATTAGGGACTCTGTTCATGTGGCACAATACACTTCTGTGTCCTAGGCTGTCTGTGAAAATGTGAGCACCCCAATAACCTGAGAATACATGAGCTATTCCTGCTGTAGTGTAGCAAATTGAAAAGATTCACAAAAAATAATTCTAGTAAGTCATTTTAGCAAATTGTAACTTGGAAGAACCCAAAAATATTTGCAGACAACATTGCTCCTCATGGGAGAAATAAAAGAGGTAAAATTCTGAATGATACAATTATATTTAATACTGCTTTACATTTTTAAACATATTTTCATGAGAAACCACAATTAACTTTGAATGTAATGAAATGAAATGTGGACTAAGTAGTTCTATAAAATGAGTAGAGCAGCATCTGCTCTCAAGTAGAATCAACTTGAAGACATTTAAAACAGAAATATGGTCACTTGTACAATTCTGAATCAGAAGAGTGGTCCACAGGGACATTATCAAGGAAGCTTTCAGCTAAGCGCAGCATTTGCCTCACTGCCATCAGAATGAGGATATCAACATCAAACTTAATGTCCAGTTCTGAGGAATAATTTTTAACAGGCACTATCTGAGACAGAGGAATCCCGAGTCTTTCTGCTGTTAACTGCATCTGTGTAGAAAACAAAATATGGCTTGTTATTTCCCTGTCTGTTTTCTTGCATTATTGTTTCCCAAGGAAAACCAAAGAAAACCATGGCAACGTGCAATTGCTGCCAGAACTGGGCTATAGTAAGGCTGTTTGTAACTTTTGTATGGGCACTAATCTGCTTCTTGCTTCACAAACTGGATCCCTATTATTTTCGCATATTTCATATTAAAAGAGCAGGTACTTTCTGCCATAGATTCAGAAATTAAAAGATGTTTGGAAATAGTTTAAGCACATTTATTAGAAATGCCTGATGCAGAACCATAAATCTGTGTTTGTCTCCTATCTTTTTGTTATTACATTCCAAACTCATCTATTCATCTATTTATATACTAGCCTGATACCCATGCTTCACTACGGTATTTAACTTCCATAAATCCAGTTATAATACTGATGATGTAAAGTTTTAAATGTAACATTTGTTGTAGGAATTCTAATAGAGATGATTGTAGTGTAAAAAATGAAGTGAGACATACGCACTTTCCCCCCCTCTACTGAAGGACCTCTCTGTAGACTGCTGTGGCGGGCTCCCTCATTGCTTTAAGCACCCTGCAACTACTGCTGCACCTGACAGACAACTGCCTGTTAGGTGTAGGACGTGGGGGGAGTGTGTTGGAAGACATCAGAGAGGCTGGGCCAGCAGCATCACTAAGGTGATCCTGCTGGGGCAGCGTCCCTGATGGATTAAAGTACCCTGGTCCTGCTCCTACATCTGACAGACACCCGCCTGTCTGGTGTGGGGAGGATCATGTTTAAAGGCATCAGGGAGGCTGGGACAACAGCAGGGCTAAGGCAATGCTGCTGAGCAAACCTCCCTGGCAGCTGTAAGCATCCCACCTCCTCTCCTACACCTGACAGGCAGCTGCCTGTCTAGTATAGGAGGGGGAGAAGTATTAGAAGCTACTGTGGAGGTGGGGCTGGAAGGATCACTAAGGTATTACTGCTGGGGCGGTAACTCCCTCGTGGCTTTAAGCACCCTGCAACTGCTGCTGCACCTGACAGACAACTGTCAGGAGGGAGGAACATGTTTGAAGCCATCAGAGAGGCTGGGCCAGCAGCTTTGCTTCACCTCACAGACAGTTGGCCACTCCTGGTTTCCTCAACTGTCATTAGCTCTCTTCAGTCCCCTGTAACTAAGTTTTTTTTAACCTCAGAACACTGAGCTCTGCAGCTGACCAATCAGAGAGTGGGGGGTGCAAGGAGACAGAAGCCTGGCAGCCACATAGGAATCAATGGAAGAGCACATTTTACCCATTGGGGTCAAATTTCTAAAAATCCCTTCTGACTAACCATCTACACCATGGTAGGAGCGCCCTCTCCAAATTTGGTATTTCTAGGTCCCACGGTTTGGCCTGGGCAATGATTTTAGGGTGAGGGGACTTTCTTTTATGTATATAGAAAAGAAAGTCCCCTCACCATAAAACCAATGCTCAGGCCAAACCGCTGGACCTAGAGACACCAAATTCAAGGAGAGTGCTCCTACCGTGGCATAGGTGCTTGCTAAGAAGGGATTTTTAGAAATTCGACCCCTAAGTGGGTCAAAAGGGGGGGGGAAATTGCTGCCCCATTGATTCTTATGCGGCTTCCAGGCAGCTGCCTCTCTGCACCCGTCACTCTGTGATTGGTCAGTTGCAGAGCTCAGTGTTCTGAGGTAAAAAAACCCTCAACAGTTACAAGGAGGTGGGATGCTTAGAGCTGCCGGGGAGCTTTGCTCAGCAGTATTGCCTTAGCACTGCTGCTGGCCCAGCCTCCCTGATGCCTTTAAATACAATCCCCACCAATACCAGACAGGCCAGTGTCTGTCAGGTGTAGGAGCAGGGCCAGGGTATGAATGTTTATGGGAAGATAGTAAAGGACATTTCTAGGAGCCATTTCAATTCGTGCCTCCCTCATGAACCTGAAGAAATGTCCACCACATCACCACAACCTCGCACCAACTCCCCCTCACACCTCTGGCCTCTTACTTCCCCGAAGAAAGCTCCTGGCAAACATCGAGCCAGATACACCAATGCTACAAGGAGGAGGCAACTCAGGAATGCAGCAAAGACATTTGCACATATTACTCCTGCAGTGCACTGAGCTGCACAGGCCAAGTACCAGCAACATCACCCTGTGGTGCTCAGAACAACACAGTCTCCATATGAGCAAACAATCCAGGAACACAAGTAGAGAGGCCATCACTTTCGTGGAAGGTAGCAGGAGCTGACTTAACAGATTACTGCTTCTTAAATGGACAGCTCTATGTGGCCTGCTCCAGAGTGCACTCATCAAGCAGCCTGGTGATCCTAGCACCTGAGGGCAGAACCACCAATGTGGTCTAGAGAGAGGTCCTTCAGTAGAGAGAGAAAAAGTACGTTATGTCTCACTTAATTTCTTACACTACAATATTTTCTGTTAGAATTCCTACAACAAAGTTCACATTTCAAATTTCACATCACCAGTATGATAACTGGATTTATGGAACTTAAATACTGTAGCGAAGTATGGGTAGCACACTAGTTTAAAATATTTGTTAATTTTCAGCTGGTTTGCCTACATGGTATTTAATTGTAATAATCTTTTTTTTTTGTCATCACATGATGCTGATGTTTCAAACTGTGTATTTGTGTAACATCCTAGCATCACCTTTCTGTCGAAACATGTTTGTTTTCAGCATGGTTTTAATATCAATATCTATACAAAATATTTATTTAAAAATCAATGTTAATTATTGTGATATTGTAAAGCATATTGTACTTTGTTTTTTGAGCCTGTAGTTTGCAAATCAGTCCGTTATATTATCAAATTCCATTGTTTATTTATCTTAACTCTTCCTCAGCTTTCGTTTCATTTTCTGTCTTGCTTGGTTGTGGGCAATTTCCCCTTTTTTTCATCCATTTTTAAATTGTGCATCATGAAATCGTCACTTTCCCAGTATCCAAATCTGTTCCCATGTTTGTCTAAGCTGGCCTGCTACCATTTTTAATTCTGTCCACGTACTTCATTGTTCTGTTCCCCTAGCTACTTCATTTAATCCTGTTTATATATTCACTACTATAGATATGCTTATTCCTGATTTTTAACAGTATCTTCTCTTTTCCCTTCCCCCCCCCAAAAAGTGCAAACTATCCAGATAATATTATGAATAGAATGTTCTCTTCACTTACATTCCACTCAGCTTTTCTCCCCATTTTCTACTTGAGGTTAAGTGGAAAGCACCATTCATATTCTGTTCACTGCTGAGTCCAATTTAAACATGACATCAATGGGTGAGAACTTACCTGTGTATCTTTCACAGGTTGCATCTTTCAGCCACTCATCAATGTTAGCATTCTAGACAACCATAACCCATGCAAATGTCATGTTGGAGTGCCAGCAATCTACACGCATAGGAGCGGAGCTCCAGCAGTAAAGGGCCCAGGGGGCGGGCACATGCAACAAGCCCCGCCCCCTGCTCCCAGCCCCGGGCCACAAGGAGCAAAAAGCAGCCAGGTAAGTTGCAGAGCCCCCCCCCCCATCTTCAGGTACAAGCTCTCCCTCCCCTGTGAGGGCAGATCTGCGTGTCCCCCCCCCCAATAGCTAGCAAATCCAAAACAGTCCAGTGGAGCCTGAGCGGTGGGTGTTGCCTTCTGACACACTCCCGGTGATGTCAGGGGGTGTGGCATATAAGTTATGCTAATGAGCTCCTGCACCTCTTTTTCTACAAAATGACCCCTGATTGTGAAAGATCCTAAGTGTGGGTCTCTTTTATCAAGTTTAGTTTGGCCCTAAATGGCTACAGCTTGCCATCACACATATGCAGTCCTCACACAGAACAGTGTACACAAAACACTGTTTTCAGCACTGGAGGCTTTCAATGTAAGAAACTTGTTAAATCCAAAGGAGCAGTTTAAGTCACGTCTCATCCCAAAACAGTGTATCTGCATCTTCCAGTTAGGAGACCCAGAATTACTGCTGAATTCAGAAAAGAACACAGCACTGAGTTTGTGAGTTCATTCCTCCAACAGGCAGCCCTCAAGGACAGGGCTCTTATTAGGATTTATTTCATTTGGTCCTGAGAATGAGTGTATAAGTAAGCATACTCAATGCAGCTATTATTACAGTTTAAGTGATTATGCCCATTTAAGACTAACAAGCTAATATCCAGAACCACATCTTACCTGCTTCTCAACCGGTTTGCTTTTGTACACATATGAAATATCTTCCTCGAGAAAACTGCAGATTTCATCCACTTTAGTTAATATAACCAACTGTGGTACATCTGTAGCAAGACAGTGAGTTATGAAAAGAGTTTATATCATCATCAACTAACTTTCAAGCTCTTGTGATATGAAAGGGTTTCACATTTTTGCTTAGCAATCAACAAAAGAAGCCAGTTTTTTAAAAAAATCACTTGAGAAGAACCAGGTTAACTACATCACAGCAGATTAGACCGCAAAGCCTGTTTCCTTGTGCAGTAAAGAAGGTGAATGAACAAGCCTTGAGGATGAGTGTGTCTTGGTTCATCTGGCCCTTTCTTGCAAAGTCTGCAGTTAGAGCCAAAAACAGAAAACATCCTGAGTTGACTTTGACAACAAATGTAGAAAAGAAATTATCTAAGAAAGTAACCTTCTTAAATTCTAATTGATGTGGAGGAAGAACTCCAACATTTCCAAATAATTTTTTCTGGTCATTTTTCCTCCAAAGCTGCTATTTGCGACTGCCCCAGAAAGGAAGAAGAGAAGGGGTATCATTGGGGAACTGATGATGAAAAAAAGGGTTAAATCATCAGACAACACAGACCACATGAGATTAAAATCTGATTCTTGACTTATTCATATTTGGTACCTTTGGGGCTATTTGCATTTTTTAATAGGATGGCCATTTAATGGATGTAGAAACAGCTTCCTAAAATGTTTTCCATTGTTTGGCCACAGTATGGGTTAGGTAAAAAATACAAATGGGTCAGTGGCAGAGTACATGCGAAGAAGAAGAAGAAGATGATGATATTGGATTTATACCCCACCCTTCATGCGGGAGTCTCAGAGTGACTTACAAACTCCTTTTCCTTCCCCTCCCCACAACAGACACCCTGTAAGGTAGGCGGGGCTGAGAGATCTCTTTCAAGAACAGCTCCAACAGAACAACGGTTTGCCCAAGGTCATTCAGCAGCTGCAAGTGGAGGAGTGGGGAATCAAACCCGGTTCTCCCAGATTAGAGTCTGTGCACTTAACCACTACACCAAACCTCAGGTTCAATCCCTGACATGTCCAGTTAAAGGATAACTAGTAACAGGAGATGTCTGAGACCCTGAGAGTCACTGTGTTAGTTTATAAAACTTTTGCACAATATGTCAAAAGTGGGTACACAGAACTTCTTTCTTTCCTCAAATAGTAGAACTATTAGGTGCCTAATGAAGTCTTTTGGGGAGCAGATTCAGAACAGACAAAACAAAATACCTCTTATGCAATGCACAATTCACTTGTAGAACTCACAGCCCATTACAGCTTTAAAAGCCAAAATCGTGCAGGAAAGTTCCATCAGTAGTTTGTAGCCATGATGGCTAAATGGCACACCCACAGTCATACATATGACACCTCTCAGTACCAGTTACTGGAGACAGACAGAGGGAACCTTTCTGTCTCTGCTTCTAGGCCTTCTAGTGCATCATGCTGGGCTCTGTGGAACAGGCTGCTGAACTAGATGGAACCTTAGTACGATTCTCTTGTTATTCCGGGTAGGCAATACTGAGCTAGTTGGATCATTTGTATGCTTGCTTTGTATGCTCCTATGTTAGTGATGTGGAATAAAAACCCTCTAATCGTCTAATTCTGGCTAAGCAGTTCATGGCTCGTGGGAGTATTAAAAATGTGGAATTTCAACCCAAGATGTTCAGCAAGAACCTGTCAGCTCACACAATAGATTGATAGCATTCTGATACAGATGAAGGGCCTTCTGTTTGAGAGGTGCTGGAGATTTGGTAACATTTTAATGACTATGCCTTTCATTTGTCAGTTCTGGAATATTGGTTTGTAGAAACATTTATGGATCAGGCTATTTGAGACAGAAATAAACAAAACTAACCAAGTAGATTTGCTTTCCGTCGAATTTCTCTCAGCTTTGCTGCTAGATTTTCAGGTAGGATCTCAACTTTTGACCCATCAATAATAAATGCAACACAATGAATCTGGTCCTTTAGAGTTGGGTTCCTGATGTAGCCAGGTGCATTTGGGTGCATAATGGAGGATGGATTGAACTGAGAAGGAAACCCAGCAATAACAATCATTATAAAAGTCCACAATAAAGTGAATAAAAACAGACAGTTAAAGAAGTCTCTACTACCATAAAACATTTACTTGTTATCAACGTGAAACTCCTTTCATGAAGCATGTGAAATGACAGATTAGTCCCTTAGTGATTGACCTCTACAAACTGCAACGGTGGGCTACACTCATCATCTTCCTCTGACAGCACACATCCAAAGGCTATTTATGGGACAAGTCTGCTAAAGAGTTGGGACTAGGATCCGGAAGACCATCCACACTCTTCCATGAAGCTGCCTGGGTGGCCTCAGACCAGTCACTCTCTCTCAGTCTAACTTGTGGACCATGATCTGGTGGAAAGGCAGCATAAAAATATTGTTTTTATTGTTGTTGTTAAAGATGATGATGATGATGATGATGATGATGATGATGATGATGAATTGTCACAGTCAGATATTTAACTGGTAGAAGGTGTTCTGCAGTTTGACTTCTAACCAAGTTCTTGGGAATTGCAAAAGTATCTTCACAGTATTCTTGCTGTTCCAAGCAACACTGTCTTCAGAGATGAGCTAGGGTCATTTGCTCAGTGTCCAGAGGGTCCAGGTGTTTCTTGAGACTTCTAGGCACTGCTCCAAGGGCTCCAATGACAACCCCCCCCCCTTATCGCAGCATCCCACAAGGTATTAGTTGGGACAGTCCCTCTATTCTCCTTAAAATAACATCTTATCTGCTCCATCATATAGCTGGGCTCCAATGACAACTAGTATGATGGCAACCTTCTTCTCCCAGAAGTGCTCTAACTCTATTCATAGGTATTAGTATTTCATGATCTTCTCCTGTTCTTTCTTTTCTATTCTGCTGTCTTCTGGGATTGCAATGTCAATGTACTATCAGAGGTGTTATGCTCCAGGCATTTATCTGTTTGTAATCGGAAGCCCCAAAGAATCTTTGTTTCCCGATTCTCCATGATCTTGTCTGGTTTGTGCCCCCATGAATTTCTGGCTGATGGTAAGCCATACGTCTTGTGAAGACTCTAGTGCATCATAGCTGCGACTCTACTGTGATGTCCTTTATAGTCAGTTTGAGCAATTTTACTGCAGGCATTAACTATATGGATGACTGTTTCATCCTTTGCCTTACAAAGTCAAGATATTATTATTAGTAGTAGTATTCCACATCACAGAGTTGTTGTGAGGATAAAATGGAGAAATATGTATACCATCCTGCTCCTTGGTATAAGGGCAGAATAACAATCTATGAGATGGTGTATTATGTGCCCTATCAAACTTGTGTCCCACTTAAATGCTAGCAAAGATATTTTGATCAATGTTCTGGTAAGAACACAGTATTTTTCTGGTGATGGAATATTATTTCAGAATTCCTCCATTATGGTTCTTGTAGTTCTGCCTCTCCACATTTTAACATCTTGGTTCTTTAAAAATCTAAGAGAAGTCCATCTATTTTGCAATTTCCTTTAAAAGATATTTGTCTTAGCATATTTTTTGCACGCACCCATATATCTAGCTACTTCTTTGCACATTTAGTTGTGTGAGAATTTTATACTTTTTAAATTCAAATTTGCTAAGCTAGCCACAAGCCCAAGAACAACCTATAATAGTCTTGCTAATAATTGTTATCCAACTATCAAATTTATGTGTGTACATTCCAACATATCTTGCAAGGGCCCAAGAACCATGCATGGAAGACATCAATGAAACACACTACATCGAACATCAAAATGCTACAGGCTGGAATTGAGGTATACTACTGAGGTATGGCTCGCACAGGAAATCACTGGCAGGTTGAAACTTGAAAATGCACCCAAGGGCAGGCTCCTCAGCATGGCAACCTCTTTGTGAGAGGAGCTTTCCATGTGGTTCCAATAACTTTCACCAGATGAGTGGAAGCCACATAAAAAGAGACAAGCTAATGGTGTGGAAGGAAATTGCTGTAACCACATGGTAACCCACTTCCCAAAAGCACACTGCCAAACGGAACCTCCTCTATCCAACTGTGCTTCCAAGGAGCCATCATGTGTAAAACAGTCCTTACTCTGAAGACCCCCTCTAGAAGCTACAGGATGTGGCTGTAGTGAGAACACACGGTGAATCACATTAATTAAGAATACATAAATTACAAATATAAAACAAAAAGTCCTAAACAAATCTCTTTGTTTGAAATAAAGTACAAAATGTTAAATGTTAGATCATACCTGATACCTATCGGGAACATGTCCTTTTAATATGTTGGGCACCTCCTCAATTTCCAGACCAGCTCCTTGTTTTTCTTCTAGTCCCATGGTGTCACAGAAAACAATGGGCAGATTTCCATCCCTTCCATTTTTAACTTCATATGTCCTATACTATAGTTTGGGGGGGAAATTGAAGTGACATGGTATACATTACATTAGGGATAATATGTTTTTTTTCCCCTCCAGTTCTTCAATCCCAGCTCTACTGCAATCCCAGATCCCTGTTGTTTTACTATGAATCTTTGCTGTTAGACTCAAACGTTATCACTCAAATGTTATTATATTTTGTAACTGCCATACTGATTGACTGAATAGTCCTAATGTAAGTGTCGTCTCAGTGAAAAAGGCAGAATATAAATGAAAACAAATAAATATCCACTTATCTTCTTTGGTGTGTATATATATATAAAAATGACATTTATCACCGATTCCAACAATTCTTGTGAATTTGTAATACATCACAGCAGCTAAGGCAGACACCAGCTAATAAAACTGTTCAATATGCTTACTTAGAATTAAGTCCAGATTTGCTGGGTGGGAGGGTAAATTTCAGAGGGGGGACTGGGGTTTCTATGGACTTTTTTCAATCTTCAAAAGAAAATATTGGGAATTTTGGGAAACACTGGAAAAAAAACTCCTATGAAATATTTCCCCCCCTTAGGAATGCATGAAAGTCTTCTCCTGCCCCATTTTTGTCAGGGAGCACTGGGGAAAAAAACCCTTATGAAGTCTTTCCTTTTTTTTCTTTTGTAATGGATTAAATGCTTTTGAGTGAAATGTGCAAAGATAGCATAGGATTCAACAGTTTGCTGCTCTCTCGAGCTTTAGTATCATGTATGTATATTTGCCATTTTGCTTGTAGAAAATAAAGGCATTTATACTTTTAAATTCCATAAATATACCAATCAATACAATGTTATATGTTAACTAAGATATAAATGGCATTTTATGTTTTTAAAGCAGCAGAATGGTTTTAGGTTTGATTGGAAAGCATTTATTTGCCCAGATTTCCAAAAGGGGATGGCTTCAAAATACCTAGAAATTTTACATCTCTTCACACGAGTCATAATAACCTGCTAACTTTGTAACAGTTCTCTACAACTGGAATGTGACAAATTCATTTAGCCTACCTAGATTTTCATGTATGGTTTTTTTTGTCTTACTATACATCACTTTGTACTGATGTGTTTACAACATTGCCTACTATTTTATTGCTATTTGCTCAATTTGGAGACACCTTTCAGGAGATTTTCACAGTCTGTTTCGTCTCATTTAAATACCTGCCCCCCTCTATGTTCACCTGTGTCCAGCTATTTTCTGTTATTCATAGCATAGAACCATATTTTTGTTACCAAAACAGCACTCCAAATGGTGTATAACATATATAAAAATAAAAACAATAAAACACTTGACTTCCTGTCAGTGTTGGGTTAAACTAACATAGGTCCCGGGCACATACAGAACTATCCACGTGATAGGGACGAATGCCGGGTGCGATCACACGGGAACATTTGGCAAGTGTGCCGCACCCATTGGCAACCCGTATCGCCCCACCAAAGATGCGGAGTAAAAAGATACCTGGGAAAGTGCAGTATTATCCAAAAAACGCGGGGGCAGGTGTCCGATTGCGGAAGCGCTGGTATCCCGTCGCATCCGGCGCCCGTTTGTCTCCCACCAGAATTTTTTTTACGCCTCTGTGGTATGTGTGCAAACATGGAACTGCGCATGTGCACAAACGCGTTACTGCTGAATCGGCTCGCCATTGAGCTAGGCAGTGCAGCACAAGTGCAGCCAGGGAATAGGACCAGTAGGGGGCTCCCAAATGACCAGCAGCCAATCCCCCACCCACCCGTGGTTGCCACTGGACAGTTAAGATGGCTGGGGTGCGTGGCCCATCCCCCGGATTATCTCGCTTGTGTGACTGGGGCCATAATTAAACTAACAAAGGAACTGATCCAGTCAGTCAGCACCAAAAACCTTCTTAAAGAATCACATTTCAATAATATGAATAAGCAGTATAGTACTGATTCTAGGACAGATCACAAGATTGTGAGGATCACAATATCCAAATCCATATGGACTGTCATTTTTTTTCCTGCCCTGCCTTTCTCATTTTAGTTAGTAACTTTGTTTTTAAACAGTCAGAAAGTCCAAGTAATGGACACCCTTATACTCAAATTTGCTAAATTCAAAGGACTCTAAAAAACAAATCAAGCCCTTTGCAGAAGCCACGCTGATTTTTCTTAGAAAAGCTTGTACTTTTGCATGTTTCTCAGTTATAACTTTAAATTTTTTCCAACATTGTAGTTAAAATCACAACTTTATAATTTCATTGATTTCTCCAGAATCCTTTTTTCAAAGCCATTATATGAATTATCAATTTTCTGATAAGAAGACAGACTTTAATTATAAGTTATTTATCCTGGATTTAAGGTTCAACTATTTTACATTTTAATTGTAAAGAATTCTTAGGGGAATATCATCCAAACAGTGACTTCTAATTTGACAGTTAATTTGAGAACTTCATTCTTGTCTGTGCAATTTACAATTCAATCCTATGTAATCCAGTCTAAACCCACTGAAATGAATGGGCTGAAAGCAGAGTAGTTTTGTACAGGATTATAGTTAGTTGTCCAGATACGTTCCATGAAAGCAATGGTTCAGGTAGGGTGTTAGTCCAATTTCTTCTCTGCAACTTCCTTGCACAAAAAAATATTCTTGCCCAGAAGTATGTAATAAAAATGCTGAGAATAGTGGTCTGAGAGAAAAAAATTGTTTATTATTTGTTAAAAGTATATCCCACTTTCCTCCTAAAATTCACGGGATCTTCAATAAATACACAGTTTTATGGACCTATTTGTATTACAATAAAAACAATAATTTTCTGGATTCTTGACCAAGTTGAATTCAGTTATATAATTCCATAATTTGTATTATTTTATAAATAAATTCAAAACACAGTCATGAATTATGGATCTTACAAATTATGAACCTGCACTTTGAGGCTGTCGTCAGGTGGCTAAGGTAGAACAAGCTGAATCTGAATCCAGAGAAAACAGATGTCATGCTGATTGGGAAGGCAGCTGCTTTGGATATAAATGGGAAAGACCAGGAGTATGGTAACACTTGAGTCCAAATTCACACTGCTGTGAAGTGTGTTACCTCAGACCTCAGTCATTTTGTTTCAGCCTTATTGTGATGAAACTGCCGCCTCATTTCACCTGGGGTTAACTTCACCATTAGAAGGCTCAGTCAGGCTAAGCAGGTGTACCTGGCTTGAGAATTACCTATCCCATGGATGGGTAATAAAACATGTTAATTAGGGTGGGTTTTTTTTGAAAACCAGGCCCTGCTGTGGTAAAAGGATGGGAGGTGGAAAATAAGAAGCAGGTGTGAGTGTTTTCTGGAAGATTCCTAAGGGGGAATGATCTCATTGGTTGAAGAGTATCACCTGATGCTGTAGGCTAAACCCTATAACTGAGTATAGGGGTTTAGGATAATATCTCTTTCTCTATTCTGCTTTCATTACCTAATGGCTGTACCTGAGGCATAAACTGGTATGCTGTGTTGTGCCAGAATTTGGATTATTCTTCTGCTCACTATTATCAGATTGCTCACAGAAGACTTACCATCTCCACTGCAGTTATTCTATGTGTTATTTAGTGAGATAGCTTTGTTATGTTTTGTCACTCTTTGACCAAACAGAGAATGTACTAGAATTTTAATTGATTTGTTTCTTTAACCTTTGGAAAGAAAACATTTTTTATATTATATCTGGTTTGGTTACTGTGTGAGCAGGAATCACCTTGGAACTCTAAGTAAAGTGGTTTGGTGGTTTTGCCAGGTTTCAGGGAGATTGCTCAGGGTTCCAGGTGTTGGGGCTGGGAACAACATCCCTGCAAGGCACATTCAGTCTTAACACAGGGTTGTTAAGATGTTGAAATGGAGAAGAGAACCATGTATGGCACCCAAAGATCCTTAGATAGGATAAAAATGTAATAGGCAGATATACTAAAAGGGGAACTCACATATCCTGTTAATGATACTGAGATGAAGACATTAGATCACATCTTTGCAGCACAGGATGAAACAGAACAGTCTTTAGACTTTTACCCTGAATTTTAGTTAGTTGAGAGATATGTACGGACAACAGATTAACATCACAAGATGATGAAAAGATAATATTTGGGGTTAAATGGTACTATTGTCAAAGAAAGAAAAATATTTGAAATATCAACAAAAAAAGTAGTTTTAAAATTTATCAGCATACCTGCATGGTCACACTTGTAGAATCTGATCCCGCTATGGCTTGGCTTGTCACATAACTCCGAAATGTAGAATTCACAGAGTTGAAAAAGCTGGACTTGCCAGCTCCGACTGGCCCAAGAATCAGAACGCGAAACTGTGACACATTATTCAGGTAAGGCTTGTAAGTTCTTATTTCTTCCATCAGTTTTAGCCTTTCCCTGTTAAAAAATGTAAAAGAAGTATATATATTTATCTCTCAACACAGGTAAATACATACATTCACTCATTTCTGAAAGCAAGAAATTGCAAGTAGATAAATAGGTACCACTTCGGTGGGAAGGTAACAGCGTTCCGTGTACCTTGGTGTTTAGTCATGCCAGCCACATGACCACGGAAACGTCTTCAGACAGTGCTGGCTCTTCGGCTTTGAAACGGAGATGAGCACCACAACCCTAGAGTCGGATTTGACTGGCTTTCGAGCAAGGGAAACCTTTACCTTTACTATCTCCCCCCACTGTGTCACAATACATAATCTGAGACCATGATCCTTAACAAGACTGTTTTAGGGCTTAACTAGATGCAACAACTGGTATTCCAAGATGGATCTACTCTATTTTTTTAAACTGCAAATGCCAGCTGCAAAAAATGAATACTTTGGAACTGAAAGGAATAATTTTGATTGGGGTCACAGGGGGACAGAATATTTTGGCAATTGGATCATCATTTGCCCTGTATGGAAAACACATAATACCATAAGGGGAAAAAATGTATATTTCAACTCATAATACAAATAGCAGCAAAGGGGGAAGGGGAAGTCAATTTGGGAAAATGACACAGGAAGAGTTAGACCCTCACTGTCCCCATGCTACTATTTGCAGTTTATATCAACCAGTGCATTCCTGGTTGTCTTTTAAGCCTCCCTCCTCCTATGCTTTTAAGAAGAAAAAACAGCAGTTGGCTATTCCACAAAGCAGTGGGAACACATTGTTGACTCCCAGTGCTGCAAACCTTACCATAATTCACACTACTGAGGAAAAAAATGCATAAAACACAACAGAAGCCTTATGCCTGTGCTGTAGTTTATATGTGGGGGGGTATGTTACCACTGTTTACTGGCATCCGCTATCTATTTTCCAAAATGACTGCCCTCCCAGTGTTTTTGTAAAGCATATGGACATAGGCTGTAATAAAGGGTTGAACTAGATGAGAGGAGAAAGACCCTGCGTTAGGATTTTCTGTATATTTCAAATAAAGCTAGTAAGAAGCCCCAGGAGACTGGGGCAAGTGATGCTCTGTATTCTTGGTGCTGGGGGGGGGGGGGGAACGGGGGGGAGTCTCCTGACTCCCTTCCCTGGACCTCCAGGTGGCATCTGCTATTTTTGGCCACTGTGTGACAGTGTTGGACTGGATGGGCCACTGGCCTGCTCCAACACTGGCTTCTCTTATGTTCTTATGAGACTGCTTGGAAGTGAAGGATCAGTGGATGAGAGGGAGTTTAAACCTTTCCTCTCATGCCTCTTCTACAATCTAAGTAGTCCCTCCATCAATGTTCCCTCTAAGCTGTGGAGTCTTGTGAGCAAAAAGTCTACTTTGTGAGCTACTGGCATTGACGTTGTGAGCCAGTGATTTGGCTGCTGCATAAATTAGCTTGCTCTGGAGCCATCCCTTCCTGAGCGAAGACAAAAATGTGTGAGCCGGAGGCTAAAAAACTGTGAGCTAGCTCACACTAACTCAGCTTAGAGGGAACACTGCCCTCCACAGCTACAAGCAGCTGTGTGTGGGGGGGGGGGGCAGAAGTGATTGAACCTTTCTTTTCCTTTATTCAGAACTGTAGTTTCAGACCAGTGTTTTAAATTACAAAACAGGCATAAAAGGAAAGGACAAATACTGTCTCACCCCACAACCCTTTCATAACCTTCCAAGCAGCCATCTGGGGCCACTAATAATCTTTCACAAATCTTTTTGATTCTCATTTGGCCCAAAGGTATGCTATAAAGCAGTTAACCTACCCAGCTGTCCAGGCAACCTTCCTCCATGGAATCTCCATAATATCTCCAACATCTATGAAAAAAACAGAATATTATGAGAATACAAAGAACCTGACTTCAACAAGAAAACATTTTCTTTCCTTTTCAGCTTACCTTCAACTCGATACACTTCACATTCTGTGAGAACCTGGTCATTCCCATGTAAGTCTTCAGCATTGAACGTGTAGGAGGCAACATTCTGGTTTGTAGCAACGGCTGCTTTGTTATCCGACAACAATACAAGGGAGCCGGCTCCAAAATAAGGACCATATTCACTGTTGTCATATACAGCCTCTTGGGCAATTTTGACTGGGATTTTTATTGGGCAGCATTCATTCTCTTTCCCTTTCAATCGAAAGAGAGAAGCTTTGTCATCATTTAGGTATGCCCCAGAGGAACTGTAACTCTGAACAGTAAAGCCTCCAAAAATGTAACCGCTTGCATTGTATGCCACAGCCACAGTTGGGCCTTGTCGGTTGCATATGTAATGGAAAGTATTAATATTGAAACCATGAACACTGCCCTTATAGAGAAGGCTTGTGCGCTTGCTTCCCAAGAGACGAAGCAACAGCACTTCTTCCTGCTTGGTCAAGCGGGATTTGACATCAGCCATTCTGAATCTAAAAAGAGAGATTGAAAAGAATTCCTGTCAGGATTTATATACTCACAACCTGAACATCAATCAGAAGACCCAGTTCCATACCAGGTTGATATAAATGATCCCTGAAATGTTCATCAAAAAGATAGCTGGGGGAATGTGAACAAATCAGCTCTGTGTATTCACTACCTAGCCTGTTACATTCTTCTGTTCTAAGGAGATCAGGTTTTCCCCTTACGTCAGTTTATCCTCACAACAGCCCAGTAAGGTAGGCTACGATGAGAGAGACTGATTCGCTCAACAAGTCAGTGAGCTTAATGTGGTTTTCACAGTCTAACCATTGCCTTACACTGCCATTCTTTAAAGGGACTTCTGTTGCATGAAGCCATGCTACTCTCCGTCAGGGTTGCTGAGAGAATTCTGCTCATGTTCCAATACAGCTGTGCTTTATTTTTATGTACAAGCAAATGGTGTAGTAGTTAAGAATTTGGGCTAAACCAGGGGAGACCAGGGTTCAAATTCAAATTCGGAAGGATAAAAGGGGTTATTGGGAGGATATATATATAACCCTCAAAGATATCCTTAGAGAATGGTGAGATAACATGTAATAAAATAAATGGAAGACTAAAGATAGCTGAGGAATGTACTTGGGTGCATGTTAATCCTCCAATACCAGATTTTACTTCCCTCCAAAGTTCCTGGATTCTAGCTGATCTTCAATGTCTCACAGAACTCAAAGGAAGCCGCAGAGCACTGTGCTATGGTGTATCTGCTTAGCTTCTCCCCTTGATTTACACTGAGCTCCACTGCCTGAAAGAAATCAACCCTGACTGTTCCCTGGAAGGCCAGATAATGAAACTGAAGCTCAAATACTTAGGCCACCAAATGAGAAGGGAGCACTCACTGGAGAAGACCCTGATGCTGGGAAAGATTGAAGGTCAAAGAAGATGGGAATGGCAAAGGATGAGATGGTTAGACAGTGTCATAGATGCAACGAACATGAAATTGAGCAAACTTCAGAGGACAGCAGAAGACAGGAAGGCCTGGCATGATCTGGTCCATGGGATCGCGAAGAGTCGGACTCGACTGTGCGACTGAACAACCAACACCACTGCTTGTTAGGAAACCTTGGAAACTGGCCTTTATTATATCAGTGAGAAATCAAAGCCCAGCTTTCTATAATCTTGTAGGGTTCTTGCAGAGGCTGCAGAAAGACATCTGTGGTGTCATATTAAAGCTGATGCCGGAGAGAAAAAACTGTGGTGCTGATTATTTATTTTAAAAATCACATACATTATACAAAAAGAGGATAACCCTATGGTGAATACAGATCGCTATATCTGAAACTTGCCTAGTTATGAAACAAAAGAGTTCTGGCTTCAGTTGACTATATGAGCCCTCCCTTGTTGTTGAGTTTCTGGAATATTCTCCTAAATTTAAAAACTGTTTACATGCCTGGCCCGTCTACTCTTGGTGGAAGTGAGTTTAGCAGAGAAGGAAGAATACCATACCATTCAAGGGTTGGTCAGCTGCCAAGATAGTGGTCTGGAGCCTACAAACTTTTTTGCCAGTGCCAAAGGAAAAAGACCTCCAGAGAACGTATGCTGGGGATAGTGGGACCTGTGTGGACAAGAAGTCATAGAGAATGGGGCTGCACTAGGGTTGCCAACCTGTGGGTGGGGCTCAGAGATCTCCCAGAATTGCAACTGATCTTCAAATGACAGAGATCTGTTCCCCTGAAGAAAATGCTTTGAAGGGTGCATTCAATGGCATTATGCTTGGCTGAGACCCCTCCACTCTCCAAACCCCACCTTCTTTAGGCTTCATCCCCAAATCTCCAGGAATTATCTGACCTAGAGTTGGCAACCCTAGGGTGCAATGAAAATGAAAAGTCAGTAGAAGCGAGTACAAATCACCCTCCCCACTTCTGCGCAATCTGGTCCAACTCTGTGGGTGTGAATGCTTTGCATATCAAGAGAAGCACATGAAGACTATCTGTGCGAACAGATAAAACACCGCATTAAACACTGGAAGCATTAAAACATTCCGCATCCACAGATTTAAGCAGATTTCCATGAGCATACAGAATAATGCATGAACACTGATTCCAAAAAGCCTAGTTGTAAGTATAAGCAGAAGGCATTAGGTTTGGGCATGATGGTGAAACATGGGAACTGAACTTGTGACTGCAACTTTACAGCTCTAGAATGTGCAGGGTTTCTAAGAAATCAGCTACATAGCAAAGGTAAACAGAAAGACTCCACCTGTTTTAGACAATAATTGTCAGTTAATTCGGTGGGTCTTACTTTTCAGCAATATGCATAGGCTAGAGCTGTCCGTTTGCAAACTGTGCGCTCTTCATGTATTATTTATTTATTAGGTTCGATTTTTAGGCTGCCCTTCCCTGGTTTCGTTATTGCTGCCGCAAGCAAGTGGTAACACTTAGTAAAAGATAAAGAACCTGAATTGCAGCAACCCAAAGTGAAACCTAGAATAGGAAACCATTCTCTTACATAAAGAGCTTTTTTTAAAAAAAAGCCTCAGGCATGCGCACCAGCCAGCACAGTACCTCTCCGAGATACTACAGCTAAAAGTACGGTTCTAGCCTAAATATCGCTTACAGGCAGCCCCGCAACGACTGACAACTACCTAACCTATTTTAGTAACTATATCTGGCCGTAAATTGTAAAGGGAAAGTGAGTCGTCTTAATCTCGACCTATACGTTAATCACTAGGGGCAAATAATAGCTCCGAGGCTGGGATGCGGCGAGAGGCTGAGGGCAGCGTCAGGACTTGCGGAGGAAAGCTTCCCGCTTCCGATCCTACATGGGGTCCCGAACAAGCGCCGAGCAAAGCGTCGCGTCAGTTCAGAATACTTACGTCGAGCTGTTCTTCTCGGTGCCGTCGCCCGATTGTTGTGGCTCTCCTCAGCTGTAACTTCAGGCAGAAGCGAAAGTGAAAATGAAGACCTGTTCCGTGCTGCAGAATCGCCCTGATTTGGGGGAAATGGTTTCACACGGACGGAAAGGGGAGGGGGTAAGATAAAAGAGTGGAAATTCCCTCGCGTTTCCAGAAATTGTCCTGCAATGATTGTTTTTTGCAAAAAGTGTTTCCTGTAACCGTAGAATCTTTACACATTTTTACTTTCTCTTCCTGCTTTTCCTTAAAAAAAAATAAAGGATTATATAATAGACTTCAGTTTATGTTTATGGGCAGTATTTTAGCCATAAAAGAAACGCTGCCTCTTGCACGCCATGTCTCTCTTTGTGATCCAGGACTTTGTTTCTGTACATGTTTACCCAGCAGTAAATCTTCCTTCATTCCTTCTTCATTCAAGCAAGACTGCAAGTGTGCATGGGATTTCAGCCTGAGATGCAGGGGAGTTAAAACCTGGAATTACAACCAATCTCCAGACTCCAGACAAGGGGTAGACTTTTGAATTTCGGGGGGTGGGGGAGGGGGGCGGCTGGGCCAGAGACATTGCTGTGCTAGGTCCTTAAAAGAACCGAGCCCAGTGACATCATAGGCCATTGTCACTATTTATGGAGGTGGAACAATGTGGGATTTAGGAAGGGGCTCTCCAGAAATTTAGGGGGGCCTGGGTTGAGAGCCAGTTTGGTGTAGTGGTTAAGTATGCAGACTCTAATCTGGGAGAACCGGGTTTGATTCCCCACTCCTCCACTTGCACCTGGTGATGTGACCTTGGGTGAGTCACAAGCTCTGGCACAGCTGTTCCTGAAAGAGCAGTTTGTGTCAGAGTTCTCTCAGCTCCACCCACCTCACAGGGTGTCTGTTGTGGGGAGGGGAAGGAGTTTGTAAGCTGCTCTGAGACACCTTTGGGTAGTGAAGGGCGGGTATAGATCCAATCTCTCCTCTCCTCTCCTCTCCTAGACAGGCATAACGGCTCAGAAACAAAGCACAGCATGGGCAAAATCCTCTACATAAAACCCTGGAGAACCACTGCCAGTCTGAGTAGACAATGATGACACTGATGGACTGATGGTAGAGGGACCATGCTTTGTGTGCCAAAGGATAAAGGTTTAAACTGAAGAGGTCTAACAGAACAGGTGTTGGAAAGGATCTTTCTCTGTCTGAGTCTCTAGAGATCACCTGCATCAGAGCAGACCATGCTGAAGTAGATGGACAAATGGCATGAAGACCAGTGTGGATTGAGGAGACCCATGTTCAGATCTACATTTTGCGTGACGCTTACTTGGTGATACTGGGACAGTTAGATTTGAGTCCAGTAGCAGATTAGAGACCAACAAGAGTTTCAGGGAATAAGCTTCCAAGAACCAAAGCTCCCTTCATCAGGCTGGGTGATATTGCCGTTGTAAGGTCAATATAAGGGAAGGGAGACTGGAGGAAGGGTAGGGTAAAGAGGGGATTGACGGACAATGTGAGCAGCAGAGTCATCCTTCAGAAGTGGCCAGGGGAACCTGGCAACCCTAACTAGGGCTATTTTATCAAGGGAGGGAGGGGAGCAGTGTTCCCTCTAAGATGAGTTGGTGTGAGCTAGCTCACTGTTTTTCAGCCTCTGGCTCACCCATTTTTGTCTCTGCTCAGGAAGGAGGGCTCCAGAGCAAACTCATGTATGCAGCAGCTAAATCGCTCGCTCACAACTTTAATGCCAGTAGCTCACAAAGTAGAATTTTTGTTCACAACACTCCACAGCTTAGATGGAACATTGGGGAGTGCCATTTCACAAGGGTTTAAAGAAAACTTTAAAGAAAAAGAAAATTAGAAAAAGCAATATTGGTTAGAGGTGCAAGGACTATATGACTTAATTAAATCTGAAAGAATAGAGGGGATAAGTGGGGAGATAACAGAAATTGATGAAATACTAAGCGGAAGACAAATAAAAGAGAAAGGGATAGCGGGGGCATTATATAAACTGATAGTAAGAGATAAGGAGAGGATGATAAGGATTATACAGAATAAATGGGAGGGAGAAGGGTTAATGCATCAGGAATTGATTCAAGAAATAATGAAGGGTATAAATCAAATCAAAATGGATAGAGATAAAGAAGGTGAGGAAATTCATATGTAAATGGTATAGAACTCCGCCGCAGATAGCGCATATGATTAAAGGATTGAACCCAAAGTGTTGGCATTGTGGCTTAGAAGTAGGTCTATACGCCCATATGTGGTGGGAATGTAAGGCGGTTAAGGAATTATGGCAAAAGATTGTAAGGGTTATATTTGATTTATTTCAAGTTAATATAGAAATTAATAGAGACCTGCTTATTTTGGGAATATTGGGAAATTAAAAAGTGGAAAGAAATAAACGGGAGTTATAGAAAATTATGGTCTTAGCCGGGATGGCTGTAATAGCATTGGGATGGAGGGATAAGTACAAATGGACAATGGAAAAATGGAATAATTATGTTTTTGAATGGCTACAATCAGATATATTTGCACAGATAATTACTGAAGAGACATGGGAGGAGAAATGTCAAAAGATCACAAATAAATGGGTGGGATATAAGGAATGGGTGGGGGGTAAAATGACTGTATAATGATCAATGATATAAAGTAAGATTATGTATATAAGCTTTAATAATACACATTATTTTTTTTTAAGTCTTTTATGACAAGGAATTTATACACACTACTGGAGGGCAACTCAGTCACTGAGGGGAACTGAAGATTTGACGGGGAAAATCTGCTAGACAGGGAGATACAGGGGTTCATCATAACAGGTTAATACAACTCACAGTCATAGAATCAGAGAGTTGGAAGGTACCTCCAGGGTCATCTAATCCAACCCCCTGCACAATGCAGGAAATACACAAATACCTCCCCCTTCACACCCTCAGTGACCGCTGTTCCATCCAACAGATCCACCCCATAAATAT